CGCCGTGACTGAGGTTGCTGTTTAATTACCACTTAGTATATTAGTGGTGTGTTGTGTAAGCTTCATTTTCGTTAATAGCACAAGTCAACCGTGCAAAACAAGGGCAAACACGAGTTCGGGATCGTCGGAATATTGATTTTTTTTAATACCGTACATCTCACGGCATCGACTTTAGTCACATTAATTTTGATTTACAGTGCCGCAGATTGCATTGCCTCTCCCCTTGATGAGTCAATAAGACGCGCAGACGGGCTCTGATACAACGCAACGATTTGTTCCTTCAGGAGTCGGCAGACTGTTTGGCGCGAATAATACAAGTGGATGCTCCCTATGTCCTTTGGCTATGTATTCTGGCAGTGTTCCCTCAGTTTTGCTCTCCTTTTCAGTGGCACGAAACTGACGACAGTGGAGGAAAATGAGCCTTTCTTCACACAAAAAAAAATAATCCCGGCTGGCCGAGCCATTGTACATGCCGGAGCAGCGCGCTCGTTAGAATGCAGGGCTCCACTGCGTGTTGGTCAGTATAATTTTCCGCTAATGGTTGATGGGGGGTGACAGGCAAACAATGGATACCCCGCCTTTCTTTGTCGGACTTTTTTTCTTAAAGTACTCTCTTCGAAGGAGGGACAGAAGCCGAGCGAAAGGCTTGGCAGGCAAATCAGATTCTTTCAAAACAACCAAAAGAAAAATACTCACAAGACAGCCGTTGGAGGCAGCTGCGGGGTTTTCTTTTTTTCACTGTGCGAAAACAACGCAATCAACGGGGGGACGTGCCACTTCGGCGGCGAGAGAGGTTACATAGTACGAGAAGATGTGGCTGATGCGAGAGGAGGCCTTTCTAGGCTGTTAGAGCAAAACACATGGGAGACCTCCGATTTCCAGAGCCAAAACCTGTTAATGTACTTTACCACGCAGGAGGATCATCCGCCGCTGTCACCTATGGTTACATTAGAGGGTCAGCAGTATATCTTGACACGTTCAGGATGCGCTGGGCAAGGCTGGTTGAATTATTTAGTTGCTTACTTGCATTCAGATTTCGGCCGTCAAAAAAGGTGTTTGGTAATTATTTTGCCGTTTCGTTTCGAAAATTCACGCGTGTGTGATGAACTTCTATCGCACGGTACGTAGCCAACCATGCTAATCGGAGGTGCGGGGAAGGACAACAGACTTATTTGATTATGAAAAGTAACCATAGCAGTGTGCCGAAAGAAGAAAGTGTTTAATCAGTGCTGACTACCTCCCTGCTATGGTTCAGAAACACGGTCGTGAACGAAAGAGAAAATGGATAAAAAAACTCAACAGTACCACAAAGGGGCATGGAGAAAGATGCACGTTTGGATTCACATTGAGAGACAGAAATATGCATATGTGGGTTAGAGAACATACAAACGGTAATGTGTGCATGTATGTTGAACTTCTTTCGCACCGTACGTAGACAATCGTGCTAATCGGAGGTGCGCGGGGAAGGACAACAAACTAAACGCAAAAATAAGTCTTAAAGAAATTAGTTTTCTGCTACCATGCAAAATGTTAAGAGACGTGAGCTGTGGAAAGACGTGTCATGGCTAGAACGGACGATGACCGAAGGTGAAGAACAACGACTTAGTGGAAGCTCAGAACGCACCGGCATCTGAGGAGATATCCACCGTGGAGATTGAGTGATGGGATTGGCTCGTGTGTGGGTGCTGCGTAGATTGATAGATCACGTGATAGTGAAATGCTGGTGACGGTGGCTTGGAGAGAGGCTTTCATGGCAGATGATGATTTTGAGCTAGCATCAACCTCAATACAGGAAGGTGAGAGGAGAAGATTTGGGCCCAGTGTCCACTCGAAATAAGTTGCAGCTGAAGTGTTTGCGTTGTGAACACACATTAATGAGAGCGGCTACGTTTTAACCGCACAGACTTTCACGTTTTATAATGAAACGCCACTCATTTAAGGTGTAGTCATTGAAGTTGTGAGAACAATATTTACGCGGTCAATGAATTACACTGTTCTTAAATGTGACGCCCCAAGCCTTAATTACAATAGATCGACACAACGTACCAAGTAAGCGTAGAGTGACACGAATTACAGCCGATGAACAAGACTCCTCTTGCTTTTATAACCCCAGTTTGGGCTATGGTTGTATAATGTGTAGAACCTGTGGTCTGGTGCTTACATTACACATTGGGTGTGGTGCCCAGCTCTGCAAGCCACAGCAAGGATCAGGCCTGGCCTCCAGCAAGCTCAGGTTTTAATTCATTATCAATCAATCTCTGCTGAGCATTTCCCACGAACAGGAAAAGGGTTCAGATTTGTGCACGTACCATCGATTACCTAGTTAACTAATGTTTATTTTATTTTACCAGGTAAGGCTCACTGATATATATTTCTTGTTTGCTCACTCCCTGCAACCTTCAAAAGGTGACTTAGTTCACAGTACAGAGGGAAAACCCGCTTTTGCTTGAGAGGGATGATATGAATACAAGTGCAGTAGCAGCATACGTCCATCCAGTGACAAAGAGTGGTCTCCATCTCACCATTTCGCACCGTGTGGTGTTACACCCACACGGTGCGAAATGTTCAATTTGTACAAAACGCGCAAAAATAATAGAAGAAACTGAACAATAAAAAAATTAATGGTTTCGAAAGGTGCGAAGTCAGTCAAATGAGAGAGACACGACTTTTGTAAAAAAAAAAACACGTTTTACCCAGAAAAAAACACATTTCTAAAGACTGTAAAAGGCTCTTTGTATAAAATGCACCTGGAGCAGCTGCCCCCCCCCCCTCTCCAAAAAAAAATGCAGCCCCTTTCAGCTGAATGACGGCTTAGAGTGTCATCCCATGCGGTATTAAATAATAATAAAAATACAATAAATCACATATCAATCTTGATTTGAAGCTTTCGTGACTGCAGGAATCCATACTCGTTGGTTCTTTCGGTAAAGTCACGTAGGTAGAAAAAAATAAAATAATATATCACGATGTTTTGATCACATATCATTTGGCGAATCAACTGTTGGGCGAAGGCATCCCCACGCCACTCTACCGGTCACGAGGGATGAGGAGGGGTGTTTCAGACCACACCTCACCGCTGGTCAGTGACCAGTTGGTGAAGTTGAGGGACCTCTGAGGACCGCTGCAGTTATGGCACGCCTCTCCTGTTTATAGCCCATGCCTGGAATGAGATTCAGTCAACGCTGGTCTGGCCGTCGCCCGGCGATGCTCGTTGTAGTTACTGGCAAAAGGTCGTACTCAGATCGTGAATGTTGAGGGACTTACTCTCCAACACACAACCGGTGTGCTGAACTAGTGACGACTTGGTGTGTTGTGTTAACATGACAAACCTTACCAATTGGCTGTGTCGGGTGTTGGCGGGTTTAATGTCGCATTTATATTCACGCGATCTAACCCAACAAAAAACCTGTATTATAGTCAACGCTGGGTTCGTGGCCCAGTCCCCAAAAAAACACTGAGCTGTTTCATTCCCCTCCCCTTTCCCGCAATATTTATCGTAATTTTAATTTGTGTATGTTGAACTTCTTTTGCACTGTACGTAGCGAACCGTGGAAATCAGTTGAGCAGCAAAGCCTCACCTCAACGTCTGATCTTTAGCAATCTTGCTTAAAAACAACAAGTGCGAGTTTTGTCGCTTTTTTTTTATCCACCACGGATAACACGCATCACGCACTATGAGTTGCCAACAACTACAGATGCGTTCTAAGCGTAACGTATCATATAAAACGCTATGTACGCGGTGCACACGCACTTAATAAGTAACCGCGTTTTCCTCACTTGCGTGCGGATGCCATTGGTCAATGTATTCTTTTACTTGAGACCCAGCAGCCCTCAACTCCAGCGGAGCTCTGTCAAATCAATGCTGCATTAATGTGCCGGCTCGCGGCGCACCCCTGCACGCTGGCTCCGCCAACGGAATCGTAATTTCGCGATGTTTTATTCATGGCACGAGCCGTGACCACAAATAAACCTCCTCCTCCTGCTCTTGCGCTGCCGCTCTCTCTTTCTCTCTCTCCCGAGCCGGCTAATTGGAAATAGATGTGACAATTTTTTTGCGTCGCGTTTGTGCTCGGACGGCAAACTAATAATCGCGTTTTTACGTCCGCACGCACTTTCGGTCTGATGAATCGCATGGAATGTCACTCCGCAGGTATTCACTTGACAGGTCCTTCCCGCCCCCCTCGGAGAATGGGGGCAGACCGGGGTTCATGCCGACTGGCCACGCCGTTGTATTAAAATGAAGTCCAAATCGTTGCCGTTACATTTGCCGCTCGCGTATATCCCACGCGTTCAAGTGTATACGTGAGACATAGTAAACATTCATAATGGATTCCTCGAAAAAAGTACTGAACCTGCAAAAGGTGATATTGCTGAGTAGGTTGCTTTGTGCACATTTCTTATTACATCGCAGTCCATTCTGCAGAGCAATGCTGAATTGAACAAACAAAAATTTGTCGGGGTTATTTTAAATGTCCCCAATAACCAAACAAAGTGCGCTTCATCTGTAATTTCGAAATAAATAAATAGGCGTCCCAAAGTAAACGTGCGCAGGTGTTCCCGTGAGATCAGAATACGTCGGCAAATTTCGCGAGTGCGGATTTACAGCGTGGGTATTAGGCACTATTCATCCACCGGCTCTTTTTTTCGCAAGCGACCTGGCCACAAGCAATAGCCCAATGAAGTGGGTGATCATGTGGACATTTATAAGCAGCCAAATACTGTAAACGCGCGTCGATTCTAAATGTGGTGAGACAAACCCGGAGGAACCTGAGAAAAATCCACACGACCACGGGGGAGAACACAAACGCATGTGCTCTACCGTGCCCCCCAGTCCTCCACTCCACGCTTCACAAATACCAACACAGTAGTCACAACGTTCACTGTCTTGCCAATCAAATTTGCTCGTTCACGCGAACCCGCGTGGGCCAAAGTGTGCGTGACCGATGCGTGCGCTCGAAGGTGAATAGACAGCAGGACGTGTAATGTGCGGAACGTTTCAGCCCCAGCGCCGTGTGAAATTCACCCTGGACGGGGAGTGCTACGGCTCGTCGCAGCAGAGCTGCGCCGACAGCGGCCTCGGCGACACGTCCGACGGCGGGCCTCCGCTGGGGCCAGCCATGGCCTACCGGCCGGGCGGCATCACGGGAGCTGCCATGGAGCTCGGCTCGGGTCCCGCGGGCTCCGGGGGAGGGGCCGAGCACGGCCCCGGTCTCCCGGGGGGAGGAGGCGGCTGCTGCTACTACCAGCTGACGCCGCTCACGGACGAAGGGCACGAGAGGAGCACCCCGGACGGCAGCATCGGGGAGATTGAGCACCTGGAGCACGGTATGTCCTGCGAGCGTTTGGCGGCCGTCGTGTTATTCGCGGGTGCAACACCGAGTTCCGCCTGCCTCGCTGTCCCTTTCGTAGAATTTCGCGTTGAGCAGTCAGGTTTATTGACAGTTTGGCGCTCGCCTACTCATTCCAGTCACTTTCTCACCGGTGGGCAGTCGCCTTCTTATTGCGCTTCTATCGCGACCACCATGGTTCCCGCACCTCCGATTAGCATGTTTGGCTACATACGTTGCGAAAGAAGTTCAACATGCATACATACACGGTTACTATTGCAATGGAACGCCACCCATGGCTTAGGATTATGTTTACCAGACTGTTTCGTCTCATCCACGCTGTTTTCAACCACTACACTCCAGATCACAACACTTCTATCCCTGCTCTTTTCAACGCACTGCACGGCGACTTTGGAATTCTCTCCCTTTATTTGTTCTTCCCAAGTTCTTATGATAACCTTGTTCTATTCACGACACACGTCAACTCTTGTCTGCGACACCTTCAAAGGTGCTGTTCGTTGATGGCTACTTGCTATTTTAGGCCTTCGGGCCTATCCTCATGGACAGTGATTTTAGAGAAAAAAAATCTCACCGCAGATGATTGAGAGCTCTTTCCCTATTTCATTTGTTCCCGCGACACCTGAAACATAGCTGATCGCACACCAGGGGCTCATGTCGTCTGAAACTATATAAGTGCTCCCAATGTGCCTTATCAAAACTTTAATCCCCCGTATTTATTCAGCCACTAAAAATCTGAAGGCTGAAACAAAGTAGGATCTGAGGCCTTTTTATATAAAAAAAAATATATATCCCATTTCATACTTGGCCGGTTTCATTGGGACCTCATGGGTTGCATTCTGAGGAATGTGTGAAGTAATCGAGCTTAAAATGAATCATCGTGGATTATGTTTTTTTTCTTTCAATTTCGCATGTTGTTATTAAAAGCAAACCATAACATTGTCTTCGGGTTACCAATATGATAAATATAATGTGACAAATGTGGGGGGAAATCTACAATTATGAGCCAAATTACTCCCTTAATAAAAGCCGTAAAACATTGAAAGGTAGCTTGGTAATACATTTATGGTTGTTAACTAATCTTATTTAAAAGTGAGAAGCGACTGTCAAATGAGCACTCATTGATGGCTCGTGCTGTTTCGTCTCAATGTGAGAAAGAAAGTTGCTAAAAGGCAGGCAACGAGTGCATGTGCAGTGTATATAAGGACCTCGTCTGATTAATTGGCATGGGCATCATGGTAGCAATATGTTAACTACCTCACCCGGTATGCAGGAAGTTATTGGTTCGATCCTGACGCCTGTATATTTGGAGTTTGCATGTTTTCCCCGTGGTCGTGTGGATTTTTCTCCAAGTCCTCCAGTTTTTATCTCCACATTTTGGAATCAACATGCGTTTAGAGTATACGGCTGCTATACATTTCCACGTGATAAGCTACTTCGTTGAGCAATCATTTGGGGCCAGGTCCCTTCTGAAAAAGAGCCATATAGTTCAGTATGCCTTAACCTGGTAAAATAAAGTAAAGTCTTATTCATATTCGTAGGTTTTTTCGGTAAAGTCACGTAGGTAAAAAATTTTAATTAATAAAAGTAAAATAAAAATCACGACGTTTCGGAGGCAACACAAGCTTCCGTCTTCAGGTGGAAACGTTGTGATTTTTATTTTTATTTTACTTTTATTAATTAAAATTTGTTACCTACGTGACTTTACCGAAAAAACCTAAGAATATGAATCCTTGCAGTCACGAAAGCTTCAAATCTAAAATAAAGTCTAGTTTATTGCTGCAACAGAACAGGTGGCTGACAAAGATGCCAAAAAAAGTTTTTATTCTATCACTTATTTGTCTCTTCCTCTGGTCGTTTTTTGTTATTTCCTGCTGCTTTGCAACCTCCCCATGGTCTTTACTCATTCACGCACGACCACCAGTGCAGGCAGTGAACCGTGCCCTATCATGGGAGTACCCCATGCTTCACCTCACCTCTCATCCCTTACCCACCCCAGCGCACGCATATAATTAAACCAAAAAAAACATCATCCAGCAAACACGCAGCGGTGTGTTCAGAACTTGCGTAACCAACCACCACCGGCTACCACTACGCATGAGGCAAGTCACGGGCCATTCGCATCTGTCACCATGGTGAACAGGAAGCCGGTAGCTTGGGAACAACCCCCTTGCATGTTATTCCACCGCAAGCTAATTAAAACCTCCACCTAATTAGGTACAGCCCGTTATAACGTTTGCTGCCTAAGGGTCCTGCTTTTCAAAAGAAATGCTTGATTTTTTTTCAGTGTTTCCTTTTTAAAAAGTACAGGTAAACTATGTTGTAATCATTAGAGAGCTGAAGGTAACACGTGTCTTGGAATGCCTTTGGTATAATGCGTGCAGCACACTCCTGCTTTCACCGGTGCAGCATTTCTCCCTCTCTCCTAATCCCACATCAAACCATTTCCAAAGGTGACTTGGTAATGTGTGTGTTTTTGTACAACGTTCAACTTCACGAGATGTTATGTCAGAGGAGAAACGATTCGTGTGCGGCGTGTCTTATCGTGTGCGAGAGCATTGTTTCCGTGCGCGAGTTCCATTGGTCACTCCGTTTTTTTGGTAAGAAAAATACGCGAGTGAAGAACAGCGCAGTAGAGTAAGCGCTCTACGCAATTTTACAACAGATTGTCGAAGTATATCACCGTTAATGTTGGAGGGACGCAGCTGGAGGAAATGCCGCTTTGTTTATCTCGACAGCAAGCAATTGAAGACAGGTCATTATGACTGGCAAAGGTAAAGGGTAATGCCAAAGGAGAATTTGAATGTGTCTTTTGTGAAGACTGAATTTTATCAACGAGGGACTTATCAGATTCGACTTCTAATTGGAGGGTTCTGTTAATAAAACAAAACCCTCCGAAATTAACGATGAAAACTGAATGGCAACAATTCTAGTTTCTGTACACATTAACGAGTGAAACGGGTCAAGGTGTTCTGTTTCTAGATTGGCCGACATTCAATAGATGTTTTGTGTCAAGCCATTATGCCTACAATCTGCAACAACAACAAAACGGTGCATCACCGCAATGAAATGCGAACTGCATGTGGCAATCCGTGTCGTTTTGAAATGTTAAGGAAAAAGTGGGCTTATTTCAATTTGGTGTGTTTAATCCATTAAGAGAAAAAAATGTGCCTGAAATTTTGGTTGGGTGACTTGAAAGCAGACGAAGCTCACATTTTTTTACGATCTCTGCTCTCATGAAGGGCGGTCCATAAAGTTTCAGAAATGAAAATTCCCACCGCTAGAGAGTCCCACGATACAGCGTGCTTATGCTTGCTAATGAAAGAGCCAGCTCATAGTTGCGTAACATCTACGCAGCGATGTGCACGCAGAAGCAATGAGTATTAAACAACACTTTGTAAAATATTGAAAACACTTACAAAAACACATCAGCATTTACTAATGGGCGAGGAAATATACGACTCAAACAAATCACATTCCTACCTACCCTGCTGGCATACATCGTATATAACACTCTAATGGCAGTGTTAGAAACATGTCTATTCCCAGTTATTTTACTTGTGCAAGAAAATCATTGACTTGTTACCAATTCACCAATAAATGGTACAAGAGTGCTTATACAACGAACATTTAGTCATGCGTATTTTAGAAACATGTATTAAGAAAGAGTGGTGGGCTACTGGCACAGCGGTGAGCACAATGCTCTTTGAACCCAGCTGAAAATAATTATTAATCCAAAATAATTGTACAGTTGATCCGTTGCTGGACAAAAACCTCCCCACGCCGTGTCAGTCACGAGGGTTGATTGACCAGACATTACCACACTGGTCAATGTGGATTGGTGAAAAGAGCAGGCCAGGGCCAGCTCAGATATCTCTCACGACAAGCGTTCGCCATGGTCAAGAGTCAAACTGGGATGAATGGGACTAAAGCGCAGTATAATAACCACCACGCCACTGCTCCATCCAGAGATTAATAATAATAATAATAAATATATAAATTATTATTTTTGGTTCTTTCCGTAAAGTCACGGGAAATAATAAAATTAAAACAATAATTTATTATTTCCCTTCTACGTAACTTTACCGAAAAAAACCAAGAATATGAATCCCTGCAGTCACGAAAGCTTTAAATCGAAATTTATATAATTATTGTTTCATTTAGAAAGAGACATGGTTTAATAATTTGTCTTTTCCCCCCAATTTCTAAGAATACATTTATATTTCTTTCATATAATTTCACTCACTGCTTTCTGATGCATGCATAACAAAGTGGTGTACACGAGAGAGAATCATTCATAAGCATTCCGCTGTCGCCATGCTGCATGTTTTTTGAGCTTGCACCACAGTCTGTATTTCATATTGGGCTTTGGTTATGCTTCACATAAGTCATGGAAGATTAAGTGAGTGAAATCAGAAGCAAGCCAGAGCATATATTTGTTTGTTTTTCAAAATAAATGCCTTAACATTTTGAACAATAAAGTATATATATTTACAGGACAGCCTACCATTTGCTGCAGGAAATAAACACAGACTGTTGATCTCTAAGAGAGGGAGGGAAGCTAAATGTATAAATATTTGGAATAAAACAAGGGATTGCTCATGGGAAGAAAATGTAATACATGAACAATACTAATCAGTCCAAAACCGGTTAACCTCATGCTAAGGGTCATTGTTCCTCATTAACCATTGCAGGGGCGAGAACATTGGCTTTTAAGCTCGTGCCACTTTTATTCAAATTGCGCACAACTCATTTATTTGCATTTCCATCAAGATTAATACGAAAGTAAATGGCGTGCATTCATGTGAATTAAGACGTATTAGTGAATGGTTCAACGGCATTCACAAGTCAATCTGGGGTAAAAATGTTGCTCTGAGCATTAACTTTTAAGAGTATGTTATATATAATTTCCTTCTGGTTAAACTTTTACCACGGCTAATGGGGCTGCCAGCAATCCCGGGCTATGTCAAGAAGCCCTTT